CAAAACAATTTTGAAAAAGAATGGAGTAAGAGGTCTCATGCTTCCTGACTTCAAAACATATTATAAAGCTACAGTAATCAAAACAGTGTGGTGCTGGCATAAAGACAGACATATAGACCAATGGAGTGGATAGAGAACCCAGAAATAAACCCTTGCATATATGGTCAAATTATCTTCAGAAAGGGTGCCAAGGACTCAATGGGGAAAGAACCATCTCCTCAATAAATAGTGTTGGGAAACTGGCAATTCATATGCAAAAGAGTGAACTTGGACCCTAACCTTACATCATATAAAATAAAACTCAAAGTGGATTGAAGACCTAAATGTAAGACCTAAAATTATAAAACTCCTAGAAGAAAACATAGAGGAAATAATTCATGACATTGGATCTGGCAATGATTTATGAGCTATGTCACCAAAAGCACAGGCAATAAAAGCAAAGGAAAAAAATGGGACTATATCCAACGTAAAAGCTTTTGTGCATCCAAGGACATAATCAGTGGAGCAGAAATGCCAACTGTGGAATGGGAGACGATATCTGCAAATCATGTATCTGAAAAGAGTTACTATAAAGAATACATAAAGCATGCCTGTAGCTCAATAACAACAACCAAAACAAATAACTTGATCAGAAAATGGAAAAGGACAGGTATTTCTCCCAAGTATGATACACAAAAGGTCAACAAGCACATGAATAGATGCTCAACATCACTAGTTGTTAGAGAAATGCAAATCAAAACCACAATGAGAGATGAGCTCATACCCACTAAGATGACTAGTGTAGAAACAAAACAAACAAAATAACCTAACCTTCCTAACCAAACAAAATAACCTAACCTTCCTAACCAAACAAAATAACCTAACCTTCCTAACCAAACAAAATAACCTAACCTTCCTAACCAAACAAAATAACCTAACCTTCCTAACCAAAATAACCTTCTCCACATCGGTAAGGATGTGGAGAAACTGGAAACTTGGTGCAATGTTGGTGAGAATACAAAATGACACACCCACTATGCAAAAAGTATGCCAGTTTCTCAAGAAATTAAGCGTACAACTACCATATGAACCAGCAGTCTCACTTCTTGCCATATATCCAAAAGAACTGAACACAGGAGCCTTGAAGATATATTTGCACATTCATGTTGATAGTGGTGTTATTCCCAATAGCCAAGAGGTAGTAGCAACTCAAATATCTGCAAAGGATGAATGTATCAGCAGGATATGACATATACATACAATGAAATGCTATTCATCTTGAAAAAGGAATGAATTCCTGTCACATGCTACAATGTGGACGAAACTTGGGGACATGATTCTGAGTGAAATAATCACAAAGACAAATACTGTACGGTTTAACTTACACAAGGTACTGAAAATAGTCAAATTCATAGCAACAGAAAGGAGAATGGAATTGCCAAGGGCTGAAGGAAGGAGAAATGGAGAATTAGTGTTTAATGGGTAGAGAGTTTGTGATTTGCAAGATGAAAGAATTCCAGAGATCTGTTGCACAATATATGTGAATATAGTTAACTCCACTGAAGTGTGCATTTAAAAGTGATTGAGACAGCAAACTTTGTGTGTGTGTGTGTGCTTTACGACCATTAAAAATAAAAATATAGGGGTGTTTGGGTTGCTAAGTCAGTTAAGCGTCTGGCTCTTGATTTCGGCTCAGGTTGTAATCTCAGGGTTGTGAGATTGAGTCCCTGGGCAGGCTCTGTGCTCAGTGCAGAACCTGCCTGAGATTTTCTCTTACATTTGCCCTCTGTCCCTTCTATCTATGTATCTATGTATCTATCTATCCTCTCTCTATAGATAGATACCATATATCTTCTGGCAAAGACAAATAGAGTAAAAGGATAGTTTTTTAAAAAAGATATTTATTTATTTATTAGAGAGAGAAAGCACAAGCAGGGGGATGGGCAGAGGGAGGAAGCAGACTCCCTGTTGAGCAGGAAACCTGATATGGGGCTTGATCTCTGGACCCTGGGATCATGACCTGAGCCAAAGGCAGACACTTAACTGACCAAGCCACCCAGACACCCCAGAAAAACGATACTTAAAACAAACATGGCAAAATCTTGTAATCCTTGAATCTGGTGCTGGGCATATGATGTTTACTGGGTTTTCTTTTTTTAAAGTAAGCTCTACACCCAATGTGGGCCTCAAACTCACAACCCTGAGATCAAGAGTCGCATGCTCTATCAACTGAGCCAGCTAGATGTCCTGAAACTGGATTTTATTTAATTCTGCGCACATTCAAATGTTCATACTGAAAAATGGAAGCCCCGAAGGGTATTACATGTAGGATCTTAAGGACTTGGCACTTGCCTTGGTGACATCTGATTTACTTTGAGAATATCAGAAGCTATTTTGATAACCAGACACATAAAGCCTTAATAGATGGGCTAAAGAATCGTGAACAGAGGAAATAAATTTGTATTTCCTGTTTTGCTCAGAAAACATAATAAAAAGGATCAAGGAGAAAATGTGCCTGAGTGATGAAAACTCTCCCCAAAGAGCAGTCATCCTCCTTGAACTCACCGGAGAGCTGTGTGGCCCCAGTCCATGTTCCTGCAGCCTAGCAGTGCAAGGACTGTGGGACAGAGTGGAAGGTGTTCTCTTATCACTGGGCCCGTGTGGTTTCACTGTCACCTCCTCAATCAGCTGATTCTCCCACAAGCCTACAAAACCTGAGCAGGCAGGGCTGAGGCTCTGGGCTGTTACGCCCTGGCAGAGTTGTCCAACAAATGTCACGGGGCCCCCACCCTGGACCAAGTATTGCTCTAGGCACTGGGGTTAGGGTTGGCCATGACTGGAGAAGGCTGTCCTGCTCCCAAGGACAGTCAGCAAACAGTTACCAGAGCGTGCCAGGGGGCGATGTGTGCTCTAGAGCAAAACAGAACCCGGAGGACTAGGGGAGAAGGTGGGAAGGTGCTCTTTCAACAGATGGTCAGCAAAGCCCCACCCCCGCCTCCAGACTCCTTCATCCATCTCCACTTGAGATCCAGCAGGCATCTCGAACTTTGCAAGTCCTTCCCCGGTTTTACCCCAAACCCATTCTTTCGGCCATCTGCCCCTCTCTGTAAATGGCAACTCGGTTTTCCCAGTTGCTCAAATTACAAAGCTGGCATCATCCTTCCTGCTTTCTTTCTTTTTTTTTTTTTTAAGATTTTATTTATTTATTCATGAGAGACACAGAGAGAGAGGGAGAGGCAGAGACACAGTCAGAGGGAGAAGCAGGCTCCATGCAGGGCGGCCGATGTGGGACTTGATCCTGGGTCTCCAGGATCAGGCCCTGGGCCAAAGGCACTAAACCACTGAGGCACCCGGGCTGCCCAATTATTAAAAGTCTTATTATTGGCCAAACCTCTCTGACATCTTTTCTCTTGATTTAAAAATAACTACTTGGGACACCTGGGTGGCTCAGTGGTAGGGTGTTTGCCTTCAGCTCAGGTCATGATCCTGGGATCTGGGGATCGAGTACCACATCGGGCTCCCTGCATGGAGCTGGCTTCTCCCTCTGTTTCCGCCTTTCTCTCTCATTGTGTCTCTCATGAATAAATAAATAAAATCTTTAAAAAAATAAAAATAAAAATAACTACTTAATGCGGCACTACTGGATGGCTCAGTTGGTTGAGTGTTTTGACTCTTAATTTCAGCTCAGGTCATGATCTCAGGGTTGTGGGATTGAGCCTAGTGTTGGGCTCTGCACTGGGCCTGGGACCTGCTGGAGATTCTCTCCCTCTCCCTCTGCCCCTCTCCGCCTCACACACACTCTTTCTCTCAATAAATAAATAAATAAGTAAATAAATAAATCTTAAAAAAATAAAAATAACTACTTAAATATTCAATAGTTGTGCTATGGATTGAATTGTGTCTTCCGTAGAATTCATATGTTGAAGCCGCAACCCCTAATGTGACTGTATTCGGAGAGAGGACCTCTGAGGAGGTGATGGATGTTTAATGGGGTTATATAGTGGGACCCTAATAAATAGGATTTGTGTCCTTACAAGCAGGGATATCCAAGTGAGCACACAGGGAGAGAGGCCTCACTGGAAACCCACCACCCTGGCACTCTGATCTTGAACTTCTCGTTTCCAAAATTATGAGAACATACACGTCTACTGTTTGAGCCTCCCAGTCTGCGGTATTTTGTTGTGGCAGCCTGGGCTAAGACAAGTTGTAATCTTCAGTAATGAATATTTTTGAGCATTTTGAAAAAGAAGTAACTGTATGGCATGAAGTTTGGTTCTGTTTTCCTAATCTGTAACAGTCCTATGATATCATCTCTCTGAGATGGGAACCACATTTTTCTTAGGGTTGGACTTCAGATGAGTTTGCTTCCAAAGCCCTCTGGTTTCCAATAGTTACTTTATTTCCCAGCCCTGCTACAGGGAAATAGGGTTACAACTGTGTCATGATTACTTAACTGAAAAGTGTCACACACCTTCTCCTCTTGTCTAATTCACTTTTCATGAAAAGCAACAAGGAAAGGATAATCCTTTTCCCAACAGCTGAGCTGCTAATGAATGATGTCCTCTGTCGTGGAGGTTCTTGGAAGGGGGAAGAGTGTGTATGTGTGTGTTGGGGGGTGCTGGGTAATTGCAGGAGTCCTCAAGGGCCAAGACCACTGGGACCCTCACAAGATCCCTCATATCTTGCAATGTCTGAATCAAGCCCCACATGTTGGACATGCGTGGCTTCCTAACCATTCACGCTCCCTTGAATTCCTACGATTTGATCACCTGTACTATTTCTATTTCAGGTAGCACTTCCAAACTTATGTGGTTATATAACCATGTCCCGAAACTATGTGTCCTGTCTCCTAGACAGATGCTAACAGACAGAATCATTCAGAGTTGAGGTGACGTGGGTGGAGGGATGGTGGCCGCGTGTGAGAAATAATACCCCTTAAAAATCCGCATATGGCTCTGTGCTGATCACAGTAGGCAATTAATTCATTAATACTGGTTGAACTCAGTGAGGGCGACACTTACTCCGTGGGCCTCGACGGCTCATCATGCTCAGGGGGCGAGTGTCAGAATCTTCCTGCACGGGCTCCTGCTGGCCGCCCAGGTGGGGATTTTCAGACACCATCTCCTCGGGGCCAGCGGTGGGCAGCTGTGGGCAGAGGGTCAGAGGCTGTTACTCCCTGGTCTTTGGTTGACTCAGATCCTCTCTGGGGATGGGATGCGTCACTCAGCGAGGGGACAGGCCTCAATACTCTTCAGGTCTAGATAACTGTGGTCCCGTCACCAGTGCCAGAAACACTGTGCCCACCCTGAGTTTGCCCAATAGGGTTCTTGCGAAATTACTGAGGCATCCCCACGTAAAATAGTTTCACAAAGTCTTCCCTGGGTACTTCAGGACAAAGAATAGCCTCCGGTTCCTTCCCCTGCTCCTCGAGGAGGGGAGGCTGGTGAGCAGAGGTGGCAGCGGAGGCCAAGGCTGAGCGATGGCCTTTGGGGCCAAAGACTTGCCTTCTGAACTCAGATGAACCGTGGGACTCTGGGCAAGTTACTTAACTTCCTAGCTTCCTTCCTTCTCCATCCATAAAAGAAGGGAGTGTGCAAGGGGGACACTGAGCCGCTTGCTCCTTTGTGTCAGGACTTGTGCAAAGCGCAGACATTGTGATTTAAATGAATGTCCTGGGGGTGGATCTGGGGAAGCGACTTAGAAAAAAAAAAAAAAAACAAACACGTTCCCCCAAATTCCATTCTGAAGTGCTGCTGGGGCTCGGAAACACTACTCTGGAGCCCCCCAAAGTGCTCCTGCTCCGAGGTCTGCAGTCGGGCTCCTGCACGGTTCGAGCCAGGAGACAGTGCCCGCTATATGGTCTCCTCCTCGTTCCTGTCTCCTGTCCCGCCCAGGGTCCCAGCCCCGAGCCTGTCACCTCCTGTCACAGCTGCGCGCCGAGCCTGTGGTCCTTGAGCTAAGGACTTGCACTCTTTCCAGAAGTGCTGGGTGCCCCTGCCCCAGCTGCAAAGCCTCCGGGGGGGCCTGCAGGAAGGGGCTAGGTCCCCCCGAGTGGCCGGCGGTGCCCCCCTCGCCCTGGTCCTCCCTGGGCCGCTCCATCCCGGCTGCTGGACACCCAGGGGCCCGCCTCAGCCCCGCGTGGCCCACCTGGAGTGTGCTGGGAGGGCGGGCAGCAGGCACAGGGGCTTCTCCCGGCGCCTCACGCCCCCACCTCCCTGTGCCCCTCTCAGGCAGCCCATCACGTGGCTGCTGCCTCAAAATGGCGCTCTCTCCCTTCCCTCCCCTGCTGGCATCTCGATTGTTCCAAGCAAACTGCCTGTCCGCAAGATCTTCCCCGCCTCCCCTCCTCAGAGGACAGGGGCGCCTGACCACGGGAATTTATTTACCTGGAGAAGGCCGGTCCTGCAGAGGGTGGATGCTCCCAGCCAGGAAGGCTCACTCCTGTGCAGGAGGCTGGGGTGGGGGGTGGGGGCCTCGGGTCTAGACCGAAACTGAATTCGGGTTTGGGAAAGGGACAAAAGGAGAGTTCCCCATGATTAGTAATCCTGCACTGCCATCTATCGCCGGCCTCAGTTCATGGAGGAGAACTACAAAGACTCCTTCCCTCTCTTCTGGACTTCTCTCAGGAGATGGGAGAAACCTCAGAGGGATGACACCCCCGGGTATCAACCACCGTCTCCTTCTGAGGGTCATCTGTGAGGCCTCACACAGGTCCTACACTCCACACCTTCCACCTGCATCCCTGCCTTTCGGGGTGAGGGAGGCACCCCAGGAGGATGGGTGGTCCCCTGCAGGGTGCGCGAGTCTTGTCAATCAGCCTGGTGCACAGCCAGACACCTGGTCCCCAGCACTGCATACCCGTTTCTTTCTTTTTTGTCTTGCAACCTTTGAAGTCTTCTTCTGTCTGCCCACCTCTGCGACCTCATTGTTTTCGTTGAACTCCTTTGAAAAAAATGCAAAGGGAAGAACCATCATTTGGTCTGTGTTTAAGCTGGTGAAACAAAAACCAGTAAGAGAGGAAGAGGGGTGCATTTTAGATATTAAAATTAAAATGGCCATCTTGCCCACTCCCCTAAAGTTGAGTGTGAGCTAAGGGGACAGTTGGCATGGTCTATGCAGCCACCAGCATCTACTCTTCTCAAAATAGACATGGTCTTGAAAAACTGTATCGAAATGGAAACATCATGGTGAGGTGATGCTGGAGCCTCCATGGTCCCATGTCCTCCTTTGTGCCCGCAACATCCACTGTGCTTCCAGCTCTGGGGATGCAGAGAGGCTCCCTGCCCTCAAAACTCACGATCTAATGGAGGCCATGAGCATGAGCGAGTGAACCTGCCAGCACAGCCAGTGTGCCCAGACTGAGGAACCCTGCAGAGCATGATCTCAGAATCATACCTGGGGTTTCAAGGGCTGGGATCCTCTGCACCCCCAGCCTCAGTCTCAGGTCCAGGATAATGCGTGTTAAATCACCATGAGCTTTCAATTTAAAGAAAATGTCTGCAGGTCTTTTTGAAAACAGAGAAATTCTTTCACAGGGCAAGCTTTGTTTTCTTTTTCCACATTATAAATTCTAAAACTTTAGTTATATAAAGTGTTGGAAGCTGGAGTATTCAAGCTTTAAACTTCTCTGGTCCTAAAGTTTTACAGACTGGGGTACAAGTATCTCTGGGTATAAAAGAAGCCGCAAGGTAAACCTGGAATCTGTCTCCTCGTTATACCAAATTGGAAAGTGCTCAAAATAAAACTGGGATTTTTTAAAATATGGAAATAAACTTGGAACACACAAAAAATGGATTTTAATGATATGAGTTAAGATTTCAAAGAAATATCATGCAGGTTTCTGAGCCAGTCTCTGACTGCACATCCTGCCCTTGGTCGTCAGAGTTAGAGATGGCAAAAGCTTTGGTGAGCTGGGGAACTGAGGTCCCAACTAGCAAATGGGCATAGCTTGGGCTTGTCTTCTGTCCAAGGAACTTGATCTCCCTGACTCATCCTCTGGGTGCAAGCCCCACCTCATCGGGACCTCACAATTCAGGCCACGATTCAGGTCACAATTCAGGGCCACCATGTAGGGAATGTTCTTTTCTTAGGAATTGGTCAAATTAGATTATAGGATGTTGATGAGATTGAGATGTGAAAATGTGGCCCCTAACTCCTGTCTAAGTTCTAATTGACTTAGAATAGAGAATAGATTTGAGACAAATCTGGGTTTTGGGTTTTTTTGGTTTTGTTTTGTTTTTTTCTTTCTAGTAGTGATTTGATTCTCTATCAGCAGAAAACTGTCTAGTAGGACTGCAAATTAGATAGAATGACAACTCCATGAAGGCACAGGCTTTCTTTGATCCTGTATCCCCAGGGACCAAGGCACCATAAACGTTTGTTTTATGAATGAATAAGCAGATGTAGATTTATGTGGGTTGTCAGTACTTGATACCTTGCTTAAACTGAATCTGCATGGTTTTTGCTGGGTAATGTGTTGCTTCTGGCTTTAGAAGTACTCTATGGAAAACAGAGTATCTTCTCCATTTCTGCTTCTGCGGTCTCCAGTTGGTGGACCCCAGGGCTAGGAGAGAAGCTAGGGTTGAGAGCAACAGCTTCTCCTCCGTTCAAAGGTCTACAGTCTCTAAATAAGGATCTGCCTTCTCTATTCTAGACAGTGTTTAATGATGTTTTGTACATGATGGGCTGGAAATTGCAGGACCCCATGAGACAGAGGATTTTATTAGTGGTTATAATCTATGATTATTACCTTCACTCTGAATTTCTCTACATATCAATGGTGCTTCAGTAGAGCTGACTCAGCAGCAGGTGGTAACCTAAAACTGCTGTATGTCAGAATTCATGAAGTTGTGACTAAGCAGCTTGAGAGCATCCACGTGGAGTTGCACCCCCGGACAGCCTGCAGGGATGCATTTCTTATACCATCAGCCAGCCGCATCGCCACTGCATGCCTGACATAGCACCTCCTGTGTACAGTAGGTGTGCAATAAATGCTTGTTGCTGATCTAACATCCTCACTCACAAACACATGCTACATGAATGCAGGGAACACACAAACATACTTTCAGGGGAACATCTAAGCAACTACTTACCTCTGTAATTATTTTTACTTTTTCTTCCTTGGGATTCATTTTGGCTGCAATGGCGGCACCTGGACAGGAACAAACAAAAAAACAAAAAAACACAAAAAACAAAGAGGTTGGGCCTTTGAAAATCAGCAAAACATCTTTCTTACTATCAATAAATATGAAGCTGACCCTGATGGTTAGCGAAGTGTTGGAGCTGAGTAGATAGGTGTTCCATTCCCAAGGAATATGTGCTTGCAGACCCAGATAGGTGGAAATGAGCCCCAGAGGAAAAAGAAGTATGCTAGACCCTTCTGACCCCATGAACCCGGCAATGAGCCCAACCGTGAACCTGGTGCCACTGCGCAGCAGGTGGGAGTGAGAAAGAGTTGTGCCCTGGAGTCAGAGGCCCGTGGTGGGCATCCAGTACATAGCTTCTCCTCTCCCCTCAAACCACCTTCTTACCACCTCCTCACTCTCTCCCCATGGCCTTGGTTCTCATTTCATTGAACAGAGAGATGACACCAAAGGGGGGCACCCCTCTTCCGCCCTGCTCCCACCCCTTCAAGTCAGGTCACCTCATTTGCTTCCACTCACTACTGTGCCTGTCCCTGCTCCCATCTAGGCCAGGATCTCAGCCTGTGCATGGGGCCTCATTACATCTCTCCTTTGGGACGTTGAGCTGACAATTTCCTCTTTTCCACTGGATAATCATTTCTTTCTGCTATATTGGCTCTTTTCCCCCAAGTGAACAAAGTGCTGTAATTGGCCCCTTCTTACAAAGGGCTCTCTCTGGGGTCTCCTGGGTGGCTCAGTCAGTTAAGCACCTGTCTTCAGCTCAGGTCATGACCCCAGGGTCAAGGAATGGAGTCCTGCATCCCGCTCCCTGATCAGCAGGGAGTCTGTTTCTCTCTTTCCCTCTGCCTCAATGTGCTCACTCTGTCTCTCCCAAATAAATAAATAAATAAATATTTAAAAAAGAAATAAAAAGACTCTCTCTGGACTTCTCTTTCTAGCTAATGCTCAAATTGTCAACAGTCTACAGGAAAGCTTCTCAAACCGTCTCTTTCCAAATCAGTTTGCTGGGCCCAGTGCACCTCGAAACTGCTCTTGTCTGGGTCTCCAACAGATCCTGCTTTGCCACATCTCATGATCAATTCTCAACACTCATCTTATTTGACCCTTACAGGTATTAGTAATGCAAGTGACCCATCACTTGCTTTTTTCTTGAAATAGTTTCTTCACTTGGCTTCTGGGATGTGTTCTTTCTTGGTCTTCCTCCTTCCCTCTCTCAGGCTCCTAGGCTGGTCTGTATCTGCCTTCATTTTCCTGATCACCACACATGGGGCTCTGCTTTGCCCATATTCATCCCATGGTGGTCTTACTTGTCTCTTGGCTTTATTTATTTATTTTAAAGATTTTATTTATTTATTCATGAGAAACACACAGAGAGAGGCAGAGACATAGGCAGAGGGAGAAGCAGGCTCCCTGAGGGGAGCCCAATGAGGGACTTGATCTTAGGACCCCGGGACCACGACCTGAGCTGAAGGCAGATGCTCAACCATTGAGTCACCCAGGCGTCCCTGTCTCTTGGCTTTAAATGCCACTTGTCTACTAATACTCCCCACTTACACCCTGGGCCCACACACCTCCCCAGAGGTCCAGACTCTGGATGCTTGATGGATACCTTCACTTGGCATAAGATGCCCCAGATGAGCCTCTAGTCATCACCCCCAAATCTGCTTGTCCTACAGTCTTCCTTGTTGCAATAAACATAACTCATTTGTCTTAAGCCAGAAATGTTGGAGTCATTCTTGATTTCTCTCTGACTCTCACATGACACATTACATGCAATTCATGGAAATCCTGCCAGCTTTGCCTTCAAATTATATTGAGGATCCAATCTCTAAGCACCTCTAAATACCTCAAGCCACCTCTAAGCACCTCCACTGTCATCACCTTGGTCAGGCACCATTGTATTTCACCTGGCCTCTTATAAGACCCTCCTAACATCTCTGCTTCCCACCTTGCTCACCTACAGTTTGTTCTTTACATTGAAGAGATTGAATTGTTTAAAATTCCAGTGTGAACATGTCCTTCCTCCACTCAAAAGTCAATGACTTCCTTTTTTCAACCAAGTAAAATCCCAAGCCCTTTCAGGGGGCTACAAGGCTCTACATGATCTGCACTTGAAGCCTCTGGCCTCAGGGCCTTTGCACTTGGCTGTTTGCTTTGCCTATCTTTCCTAAGACAACAGCACAGCTTTCTGTCTCTCTTAATTTCTTCAGGACCCTAGACACCCTTCAGAGAAGTCTTCCCAGAACACTCATAAAACAATGGTAAGTTGCCTCCCTCATCTTCCTGGGACTCCCTAACTACTTTATAATGATTTCTTTTTCCATAGTATTTATCACCACACTCTCTCTGTATATTTATTTGTTATTGTTTGTTTGCCCATTTCCATTAGAATAAAAGCTACAAGAGGGCAGGGGCATTTGCTCATGGTTTATCACCAGAACATAGGAGTATGGCACACAACAAACACTCAATAAATGTGTTTCAAATGAATGACTAAATCACAATTTATTGGCTGTGTTTCCCATGGCTACATTCTGGAGCCCCTTTAAATTTTCGTCATCTTCTCTGGGCTGTCTCAGAAATCAAATGGGAGAATAGGAGGAGAAAGTCCAGGGCTGATGAATCCTAAGCTCCTCCTAATACCCTGGGATCTGAAGCCCAGCTGGGCCCTGTCATTTAAGTAGATCATCTGAGGCGTTCAAGGTTACCCTGACCCCGGTGGGGAATTAGCATATTCAGGGGAAACAAAGCATCTAAAATCTGTTGTCTCCAGGCCTCCTTAGAGGCTCCCAGAAATCCTGGAAGGAAACTGATGACCGCAGCTCAGAAAATAAAAGGACAGAGGAGGCCATCCAGTTGGAGAGAGGAGCAGAGAATAGGAACAAAATACCGAAGGATGAGAAAGTTCTCTTGTGATCAACTCCGGTAATTATGAGCTGGAAAAAAAGAACTGTGATGTATTTTAGGACAGAAAGATTCCTTCTCAATAAATTAAAAAAAAAAGTTATATAGGAAAGATACAGAAGTAGAAATGAAAAATGGAACAGAGTTGATTTTTTTCTCCTCATTCTTTCCTGATCATTACCTTTGAATGAGTTTCTCAGGAAATCAAATGACATCAAAATTTATTTTTTCATGAGCACAGTTCCTAAAAAAAGATAAATCAATACTGCCTGACTTTTATATGCAGCTTGTCATCGCCAAATGCATTGAGCACTTGTTAATATATTCCTATTGGCAACATCAAAATAAGAGGCACAATTTACTGCAGACTTACTTTGTGCTATCTCTGGATGTACGATCCCCCTGACCTTACAACAGTACTTCCAGCGCGGTTGTACATGCCTCAGTTTACATGTGAGGTACCAAGGCTTCCTCTGAGGTTGGCTTCTGGCAGGTCACAGGATTTGTCCAAAGTCATGGTCATTAAATGTCACATTCAGAATGTGACCCCATGTCTTGGTGATTTCAGTCTTCCCCAGGCTGCTCTATCTCTCTTTCTCACTGTTTATTCCTGCTTTTGTGATGATATCAATGACTCACCTATGCTAGTTCACTGTCCTAGAAATTCGTAAAATTGAAAACTTACAGAGTCTTGCCCCATTGAGAAAAGGCTTTGGCTACTTCAGGTCAATGATTTATTTAACTTAATGCAGAAATCCAAAGACATTTTTCTAGGAAATACTGATACCTCTATCCAAACAAATGGACTCTGAGGGTCATGAGTAGCTCAGTCATATCCAGAGGACTCTGTGACAACTTCTACAGGATGTAGGGAAAAGAATGAAGGTATATGATACGAGATGCATGGCATCTCAACTTGGGCTGCTTAAAAAATAATACACTATGAGAGTCCTATTCTAAAACAGTGAGAACTTGGGTGTATAGAAATAGTGAGACCTGGGTTCCAATTCTAGTTCTGTTTATCAGCTATGTAGTCTCGAGGCCATGCCTTTACCTCTCTGAGATACATTTCTTCTCCTGTAAACTTATGATGATAATTTTTACCTCTAAGAGTGATTACTCTAGAAGAGCTAGGTGATAGAGTGTGTGGGTAAAATGCCTAGCACAGACCAGGCTCTCGATATTGGTTAAGTGCTATTATTAAGACAAGGTGCTATTAGAGAGGGGAAGTAGAAGAAAGGAGTGAGGATAGAAAAAGAGCTTAGAGGACAGAAGGGAAATCATTAGAAAGACTCTAGGTGATATTCAAGTCCCCCATTACCATCTTCGGCTCCCACCCTCCCCACCTTCAACTTCTGAGCTCCCAAATTCGAATTCCTCTCTTTCCTTTCTCCTAGCTAGGCCTGGGGCAGTTTTCTTTCTCTCTGGTGCTTCTGAAGCAGCCCTCACCTGGCCCCACACACCCATGGGCATTTCCTCTCTGTGTACTGTGCTAAGCCTTTTCTGGCCTAGACTGTTAGGCTAGGAGCCTGGAAACCTGGCAGATGCCACACACACCCCTTCTAAATTCCGTATCTATTTCTACAAGGTAATCCAGCCACAGCTTCCCTTTGTATAAAGTTAGTGACACATCGCTTTATAGAATTATTTAATCAGCTTGATATAACACACATTGCCCTAGAAGAGTACATATAAATGCCATACTTGCGCTGCACTCTGTGGTATGTGCCCCGTGCATTTACATGATGAACTAAGGGCTCCCAGGCCCTCCCTGGGAGTAGTCAGCTGTGCTCCAAGCACGTTCGACTCTTTTATAAATATCTGATGGCGCTTAGCTCGTTGTACTGTTAGCGTCTGTTCATAGGTCTGTCTTCCGAGTAAACTCTGAGCTTCTGATCTGGTCTAATGCTTTTCTGTACACTTTGAACTCCAGCACATTGCTGGTGGATCGTTCATGCTGGATAAGTGTTGGCGTGAACGACTCTTTAAATGAGCTCTAGGACATAGGCATAGAGAGATATTTTATTCTGGAGCTGAATTTATTTGCAGAAGAGGTTATATGAAAATCCAATAACAGACATGTATTTCCCATTAGACTTTATTAGCTTTCCATAGTGCCTCTCTGCAACGAAGGCCAACTAGTAGTATAAGTAAAACAGCCAGCAGATTTTCTTGTGGTCTTTTGGAATGGTGATCTTCTTCCCTTTGTCCGTAATGGCTATTTCTCTGCCTAATGCCAAGCAGAATGAGGTGCCAATAGCTAGCTAGCACTTTGCCCTTGAACCAATTTGAACTGAAAGGCTCAGAAATGCAACAGGCAGCAAATGTTTCTGGGACGGAGACTGAAATGCAACAAGATGGCACGAAAAGTCCCAGGAAGGAAGCAGAATGACCATCTGGGAGGAATTCCACCCAGGGGCAGTGATGAGCCAGACTTCCATTTCCTGCAAACCAGACACCAAACAGCCGCTTAAATCAGAGCAGCCCGAGTAATGCTCTAGGGAGTCAGTTCCAGAAAGGAAAACCTGAATCATAATGATGGGAACCCTTACACTTACAATTCATTAAATCCGCTCGGGGTGCCGAGGGGAGTTGAGCTCCAAGGCCGGGTCACTGAAGGCAGGACACCATTGCTGCAGCCCTGCTCCCGGTAAGACAGGATTACCTTAAGGAACTTTACAAAGCACTTTGCAGATTCCGCTTTCTGGGACGAAAGGAAAGTGGAGAGAGAAGAGTCTTACTGTTGAATCTTCTAAAAGAATCCAAAAAGGCTGGATGTTGGGGCGGCTCCGGGGCTGCTCCCTCGGAGGCTGCAGAGCCGTCTGGGAGCAAAAACACCCTCTTAGCAACACGTTCCTAAGGGAGGTCACTCAGTGACTTATTTTTTTTCTTTTAAAGTGACAGGTCACTTCCAGAGTGGAGCCGGCAGGAAAAAGACAAGAAGGAATGGGCCTGGGGCAGCTGATCAGAAATTAGGGGAAGCTTTAGGAGCCACACCCTCCTTCTTGTCATCAGGGTCACTGGGCATTTCTGGCAAAAGGCAGGCCACACTCAGAGGGAGGTGGTTTAAAATCGTGAAAGGTCCCCATTACAGGTCTGGCTTATGTGCAGAAAGGTCCTGTGGTAGTGCTGCTGGGCCACCAGTGAGTGTGGTGCAGGAGTGTTTTCCAGTTAAATGTGGAGGCTGAATGCTCAGGATTAATCCTTGCTTATTCTTTGAATCCCACTGAAATCGCTGAAAGAGGATATAAATTGTAGGGCTCAAAAAAGCAAAGGTAATGGGAGAAGAAGCAAAGCAGATGGAAGAGTAATGGAATGAAGAGACCAAGGAAACCCACACTCCAGGCTGTGTGTGCGTGTGTGTGTGTGTGTGTGTGTGTGTGTGTGTGTGTGTGTATCTGTGTGGCACAGAGGAAGCAGAGAGGCATAAGAATGTGAAAATGAGCCCATTCATTCTGCAGGATTCCAGAGAAGGCCAGGATTTGGCTCAGTAGTAGTGTGATGGGCTGCATTGTGCCCCTCCAAAAAAAGATATGCTGGAACCCTAACCCCCAGGACCTCAGAATGTGACCTTATTTGAAGAGAGAAGGGTCTTTACAGAGGCAGTCAATTTATAAAGAGGTCATTAGGATGGCTTAATCCAATCTGACTGTGTCCTTATAAAAAGGGAAGATTTGGAGACAGAGACAGACATGCACATGGGGAAGATGATGTGAAGGCCCAGAGAAAACAGCATCTACAAGCCAAGGAAGGTCTGAAGCCACCAGCAGCTGGGAGAGAGGCCTGGAACAGATTCTCCCTCACAGCCCTCAGAGAGAACTAATCCTGCCAATACTTGATTTCTTTTTTATATTATATTATTATATTATATTATATATAATATACTTTATTTCTTAATACCTGATTTCTTACCTCTTGTTTCCACAATCGTGAGACAAATACATTTCTCACCATGTATGTGGTCCTTTGTTATGGCCTCCCCAGGAAGTGAATACAGTCACATATCAAGGCAGGTGGGGGCTGAAAATGCAAGAAGATATGAAAGGTTGTATGTGGAGGGGCAAGATCCTCAGGAACTTCCCTTACCCCTCACAGCCTGAGAAATATGTCCATCCTCCTCACTCTCCCTTTTTCTCCCTCACCCCCTCAGGAGACTACAGGCTACATCTCCAAGGAAGTTGAGCCAGAGACACCTTGGTCTCAAGTTCCCAGGTATAGAAGAGGGTGGGTGTGCCTCAGGGCTGAAAACCAGGTAGGAAATGGAGAGGTGCGAAGGGCTCTATCCTCACAGAACTGAAGTGAAGTAGCCAGATATATACCTTTGCCTCTCCCTGTCCCACCTCTGCCAGCACTGAACTGGAAACATGGAAACTTGTTTTCTGGAGAAAGTGAATGGTTACAAAAAACTGAACACAGATGTTGACATTTTTGGATCTTCCAATGAAAAATTAGCATATTGCCCTTACAGAAAAACATTATTGAGAAAATGAAAGGAACTTGGGTTAAGAAATTCCACATTCTTTAAAGATTTATTTATTTATTTTAGAGAGAGAGAGAGAGTGTGTGTGTGTGTGTGAAAAGGAGGAGGGGCAGACTGAGAGGGGAAACAGACTCCCTTGAACACAGAACCCCAGTTGGGCTTGATGTCGGGCTATATCTCATGACTCTAAGCTCATGACCTGAGCTGAAACCAAGAGTTGGACACCCAAATGGCTGAGCCACACAGGTGCTCCAAGAAATTCCACATGTGTAGTTACAGAAAGAAAGAACCAAGAAAATTAAAAGGTAGAATTTATCAAAAAATAATATAAGAAAAACTCTCAGAGGTGAAAGAATAAGTCTTTAGATTAAAATAGACTATTGATGTACCTGGATGGCTCAGTTGGTGGAGTATAGGACTCTTGATCTCAGGTGTTGATCTCAGGGTCATGAGTTTAAGCCACATATTGGGCATGGAGCCTACCTGAAAGAAATAAAAAATAAAATAAAATAGACTATTTATTGACTAGTGCTGATACAACACCAAAACTAGTCTCAGTTTGTATTTTGCTTGTGGTGGAAAAAATATTCTTCAGAGAATTCATAACCATTATACCATGTTGTCTGTCCTATTTATGCTACCTGTACTGTTTAGGAATTCCCTAAGTGACACATTTTCAAAGGTGGTCTCAGGTTACTGAATCCCTGTGAGGGTGCTGGGCTAGAGCACATATAAAACTTTTCTGGAAAGGGAGACAGAACATGAGAGACTCCTAACTCGGGAAACGAACTAGGGGTGGTGGAAGGGGAGGTGGGTGGGGGACGGGGTGACTGGGTGATGGGCACTGAGGGGGGCACTTGATGCGATGAGCACTGGGTGTTATTCTATATGTTGGCAAATTGAACACCAATAAAAAATAAATTTATAAAACAAACAAACTTTTCTGGAGGATTATACTTTTGAGTAATTAGTTCAGGACAACCATGGATAAACCTTGCTGAAGATGAGCTCACAATCCAAAATTAGGCAACACAGCAGGAAATAATCAGGAGTCCATAGACAACCAGAGGGCATGATTAGATATGAAAGAACTTCTGATAATACAATAATCAGATGGAGAATATTAAAAAACAAGGATCATTAAAGAACTTAAAGGAAGGCTTTGAAAAAATGAAAGAAGAGTAAGATACTACCAGATGAGGCAAATGTGAAAAAGAATCAGCTAGAGCTTTTAGAAGTGATTAATAAAGTCATGACTTTTATTTTTTTTTAATTTTTTTTATAAATTAATTTTTATTGGTGTTCAATTTACCAACATACAGAATAACACCCAGTGCTCATCCCGTCAAGTGTCCCCTCAGTGCCCATCACCCATTCACGCCCACCCCCCGCCCTCCTCCCCCTCCACCACCCCTAGTTCGTTTCCCAGAGTTAGGAGTCTTTATGTTCTGTCTCCCTTTCTGATATTTCCCACACATTTCTTCTCCCTTCCCTTATATTCCCTTTCACTATTATTCATATTCCCCAAATGAATGAGAACATACACTGTTTGTCCTTCTCCGGTTACTGTGGCCAAGTTCAAAAAGGGTGTTGCCTGAGTTCTCCTCTGGGATTTTGATGGAATCTTGTCTCACATTTAGATCTTTCATCTATTTTGAGTTTATCTTTGTGTATGGTGCAAGAGAGTGGTCCAGTTTCATTCTTCTGCATGTGGATGTCCAATTTTCCCAGCACCATTTATTGAAGAGACTGTCTTTCTTCCAGTGGATCGTCTTTCCTCCTTTATCGTATATTAGTTGACCATAAAGTTCAGGGTCCACTTCTGGGTTCTCTATTCTGTTCCATTGATCTATGTGTCTGTTTTTGTGCCAGTACCACACTGTCTTGATGACCACAGCTTTGTAGTACAACCTGAAATCTGGCATTGTGATGCCCCCAGATATGGTTTTCTTTTTTAAAATTCCCCTGGCTGTTCGGGGTCTTTTCTGATTCCACACAAATCTTAAAATAATTTGTTCTAACTCTCTGAAGAAAGTCCATGGTATTTTGATAGGGATTGCATTATACGTGTAAATTGCCCTGGGTAACATTGACATTTTCACAATATTAATTCTGCCAATCCATGAGCATGGAATATTTTTCCATCTCTTTGTGTCTTCCTCAATTTCTTTCAGAAGTGTTCTATAGTTTTTAGGGTATATTTTGAGAACCATTTGAATGGTAAATGGTTCTCCAACCTTTTATTTTCAGGTTGTAGGTGTCCTTCTGTCTAAAATGAGTCTCTTGTAGACAGCAAATAGATGGGTCCTGTTTTTTTATCCAGTCTGAAACCCTGCGCCTTTTGATGGGGTCATTAAGCCCATTCACGTTCAGAGTTACTATTGACAGATATGAGTTTAGTGTCATCATGATATCTATTTAGTCCTTGTTTTTGTGGATTGTTCCACTGAACTTCTTCTTAAAGGGGAATTTTAAAAGTCCCCCTTAAAATTTCTTGCAGAGCTGGTTTGGAGGTCACATATTCTTTCAGTTCCTGCCTGTCTCGGAAGCTCTTTATCTCTCCTTCCATTTTGAATGAGAGCCTTGCTGGATAAAGTATTCTTGGTTGCATGTTCTTCTCATTTAGGACCCTGAATATATCCTGCCAGCCCTTTCTGGCCTGCCAGGTCTCTGTGGAGAGGTCTGCTGTTACCCTAATATTCCTCCCCATGAAAGTCAGGGACTTCTTGTCTCTTGCTGCTTTAAGGATCTTCTCTTTATCTTTGGAATTTGCAAGCTTCACTGTTAGATGTCGAGGTGTTGAACGGTTTTTATTGATTTTAGGGGGGATCTCTCTATTTCCTGGATCTGAATGCCTGTTTCCCTTCCCAGATTGGGAAAGTTTTCAGCTAGGATTTGTTCAAATACATATTCTGGCCCTCTGTCCCTTTCGGCGCCCTCGGGAACCCCAATTAAACGTAGGTTTTTCTTCCTTAGAGTGTCATTTCATTTCCCTTAATCTGTCTTCATGGTTCCTTAATTGTTTATCTCTTTTTTCCTCAGTTTCCCTCTTTGCCATTAACTTGTCTTCTATGTCACTCACTCGTTCTTCCACCTCGTTAACCCTCGTCGTTAGGACTTCTAGTTTGGATTGCATCTCATTCAATTGATTTTTAATTTCTGCCTGATTGGATCTAAATTCTGCAGTCATGAAGTCTCGTGAGGCCTTAATGCTTTTTTCTAGAGCCACCAGTAGCTGTAGAATAGTGCTTCTGAATTGGCTTTGTGACATTGAAGTGTAATCCAGATTTTGTAACTCTGTGGGAGAGAGGGCTGTTTCTGAT